TATAAAAGAACATAGGCATTATTTTGTAGTTACAACAAACATTCTGTAGTAGCGAGTAGTACGTATTTATTTAATTTGACATGAAATTTCATATTTTTTGTTGAAATTTTGATAAGCAAAATAATTATTACGCAAATAAAGTTGTACYTAAAAATAATTGGTGATATTTTAGTAGTGAGGTTAAAATATTCAAACTATACATTCTGCCTGACAATTTTATAAATGTATCAAGTATGTAAATTATGAACACTAACTAACTTTACATAAAACTTATATTTCTGGACGACGGGTCTAGTAGACCTGGTTATCTATAGTTAAACAGTATCGCTGTTTTCTAACAGGCCAATTTCAAACTAAACGGTGTACTTGCACCAAATGTTTGACTAAATGTAATATTAATTAGCTCAACCAAATTATGTATTTTTAAAAATTTTAATGATAATAATAGCTATTATTATAATTCTTATGGAATTTATTCATTTCATTCTAAAATTAGAATATTTAATTAATTAAACAAAACATAATTGGTGTAAAATATCGATTTCTATACCACAAAGTTTAATAAAATGCATGATTAAAACAAATGTCTATTATACTTACTTATATATATATATTTATTGATTATTACATGAACCTCAAAATGAAAATACGTTGTTAAGTGGTACGATTCAAATTATTTTATCAACAAACAAAAACTTAATTATAACATTGATATGTAAATTCAATTCATCAACTACGTTTGAATTTTACACGGTCGAGTAAAAAATCATTCGCCATAATCGTAAAAACCATACAATCATCCTGACTTAACCATACATGGATACCGAGTATAAGTACCGGAATAGCGAGTCTTACCTTCCAGAGCCTTGTTTCGGGCTAGCAGCGCGAGCAGTACATCCGGGTTGTGGGCTGCAGCCTGCAGTTCGGGGGCCGGCCTGTGGTGCAAATGATGGCCGTGGTGGCCGTGCGGATGCAGATGCGGCAGCAGCGACGATTGTGGTGCTCCTCCAGATGGTGGTTGTTGCAGCACCGTGGACATGCCGCCCGAGGTGTATGCTGACCCGCCGGTTGTCGTCAACCACCGGCTGCAGTGGTTGTCGCGGTGGTGGTGTCGTAGGCTGTGATGGCGGTGCAATTGGATGTACCAAAGCCCGTCATCAAAAGTGACGACGTCGGTGTTACTAACTGCGACCAGCTTCCACCAAGTGGCTGGCGTGGGTTAACGGTGCAAATGTCTCGACAGGCGGCGTCGCGGCTGTCGCGTGTGGGTGCGTGCGTGTGCGTGACCACGCGTGGCGGCCACAGCGGCGACGTGTGCGTGCGCGTGGATTGCGACAGCAGTGGTGGCCGTGGCGCGATACTGGAAGATTGTACGTAGTTGTACACAAGGACTGTAACACGAACTTTTATCATCGGGTGGCGGCGGCTGAACTTTCAYCGGCTGGTGGTGGTGATGGTGGCGACGGCAGTGGAGGCGATGAGGGACGGTGGTGGTTTTGTGTGGCGGCGGTGGTGGAGGCTTGGCTCCTGTGTTATTCGATTGCGGCGGCGGAAAGCGTGGAAAACCGAATGGGTACCTCGCCCGGGTGTGGTGGCGGGTGAGGGTGCTTCGATACGCGCGTGCGCTCTCGTCCAACACTCTTCGCCCCGTTTTTCACTGCGCGTTTACCCGCCACTGCGGCCCGAGGGGTTTAATTTCGCTAAGTGTCGCCGCGCATATACATGTACACACGCACCGACCGCCGCTTTTCCACCCTCATTTGTGCTCGGCGTCCGTCCCTCGTGGAATTACCGCCATTGCGCGCGTTCTAGCGGCGGCGCGTGCGCGGTAAAATCCAGTCGCCACGGTGGTGGTTTTCTTTTCACCCCCATTCTCCTCCTCTATAAATCCACCCCACACCACCATGTCACTTCGCCGTAACTTCAGACCGTTTGCACGCCGAGTGCGCATCCTCTGTCGCCGGCAGGCAAAAAAAAAAACGAAATTGAAAAAAAGAAAACGACGGGATTCCATAGCTTGTGTATACATAAAGGGGTAGCGGTGTGTTTTTCAAGGGTGGGTGGTAAAGTGGATATGAAAATGTACACGCTCACCGGTACACCGTGCATCCAATAGTATATAAAGGTATGTGTATGTGTGGGTATGCGTAACAATGCTTTCTCCCAGYTTTTTCCCCAGTTTCTCTCTCCTTCTAGTCACATCCCAAAAGCCAAACTAACGCAGTGCAGTGGTATACAGAACCGAGGGAATCGAGAGGAGAGAGAATAAACGTCGCCGTCGTCGCCGTCATCGCTAAAAGAAGCGCAGGACTCGTCGAATAAATAATAATATCGATGTAAATGAAAAAGCCGAATGCGAGGGGAAAAAATACATAACAAAACAAACGACCTCAAACCCTTCAGTTTATGCTGTTATAGTTATATGATAGAACTCCTAAGGCTGAACTCGCTGTTTGAAATTCCTCGCACAAAGATTGTTCCTTTAAGTTTTTTTTATTATTAATATTATTTATTCTTAAAATAATTATTTCGATGTTATTAAAAGCTGTAGCCCAAATCAGAAATTGATTGCACTACCTTTGCATTCATTTAGTCGCAACTAGTGTTAAATAAAAAGATCGTTAATAAACACGAAATTATTGGTTAATATCGAGGTTCCTATWGAATTGGATTAATTAATAGTATATTGTGTGGCAAGTGTGGGAATATCAGGCGAGGGCTGCATTTCGTCCAAGATTKAAATTTCCTTTCCGCACGAGCCATACATAATATTCTTGTTACACCTCTGTGTCTGTCTTCATCGATTATGGCAAAGTTAATACAAGAATTTATACAAAAACCAAATTATCCCACGAAAATAATTTCGCGGAAAGAATATTATTTTATTTTTGTTTAATTTGATATATAACAACCATAAGCTTTAAATAAATTGATTAAMTTATCGTTGGTGTTCAACACACTTATGTAGAAAAAGTAAAAATTAAATAATATGTTTAAATGATTACGTGTCATGCAAGGAGGTTAGGTATAACATGAATATAAAATGTAACAAAAAGTTTGTTTTGTAAAGACCGTGGTATGGATTTCAGTGCCGCTGTGCAGGCATGATACGCCTTGCGCTTTTGAGGATTTTCATTTTAACGCTAGCTCTGTGGGGATTCTTACTTTACCGTCCGCTGATGGAAAAAGGTCACTTTCCAACGCTTCAACCGTCATCGAAAACTAAACTTCCGTTGCAGGTGTGACAAAAAATATATATTTTAACATTTCAAAACTGTATGATATATTGTTAAAATTATACTGATTCATTTTTTAAGAAACGTTTTAAAAAAAAATTAAACAATGCACTTTTATACAGACGAAGCGAATAATATGTAGTATTAACAAATCGAACATCGGTTATCAAAGTAGCTATTATGTCATAATAACAAAACTGCCACCGATGGCTACATTATTATAATAGWCATGCTACACAAGTATTATACTGGATTATCGGGATTCCACTTTACTGTAATTGTAATAGGATCCATTTATAAAGCTACATACATTTATTCAACGAATTATACATGAGTATATTTTGTAATACTATAGGAATAACTAAAAWWTTTAACTGTGTTTTATAAAATATTTTATGTAATGTCGACATTTGATGTTTCATTTTTAACGCACACTATTATATCAGGTACCTGTGTTAAATTAATTTTACATTTTAACAGGAATTCCCTGTTATTGTGAAATTTCAATAATTCTTTTAAATATCAACATTTCGATGTTTATAGTTTGCAAATTATTGCAAAAAATATGCTCCAATGTATTAATGCGATTTTAGTTATTTATGTTAATGTTTAAATATGAAGAAAAGCATAAAATAATTATTGTGTAAGTTGGATTACGATTGAAACAAGGTGATATATTAGTTTGTCAATGGATAATGTTGTGTGTTTTTAGTTTTCGATGAATATGGACACACTTTTAGGTAGTTTGAAGTGCTACAAGCTA